CCCTCAATAATACAGATCAATTAATAAACAGCATAATATGTATATTTTATGAGACTGGCTGCTGCCTTGACACACCTACACACATTACAATTGCATTAAAATACACTACAGTACTGCTTACAAACTTTTACTTTAGTAATTTTACAGTAACAGTACTTTTACTTTAGTCATTTTACAGTAATTGAGGGGCCGACCATTTAACTTTTGAGGGGGTGATTTACTGCTGGCAGGGAGTTTTTTTCTGGGATCATGTGCAAGTTTTTTTCTATCCCATCACCATGTATGATTTTTTTTTTCCACTCTCTTTTGGCAGCATTTTTTTTCAATAGCTTATACTATTGGGTCATTCCAGAAAACATCCATACCACCCCCACAGAGGAAATAGGAAGTTAACCCCCCTACCCCCTTCGGATGTCCTAATACATTTACTATTATCAGAAACAATTTTTTCTCCCCTCCAGACGGCAGAAATTTCCTCCGTGAGGGGAGTATGGATCTTTTGTTGAGTTTTCTAGCTTCATGCATTGCTTTTAATAATACATATTGCTATGAGATATATAACATTTGGTTCAGGGCCTCTTTTAAGGCAGGGCCATAGGAAGCTCTTTTCGATTGGGGGGGGGGGGCTGAAAGCGAGGGCCGAAGGCCCGAGGAAATTTTTAAATGTAAAGTCTCTGAAGTGCCATTTCCTGGACTTTGGGGAAGATTTGACAGAATTCTGATGGTCAGAAACCAGCGTTTTAGTATGTTGAAATTTACAATTTAGTAGTACTAAATGGACGAAGGCGTATTTAATGAACTATATATTGGATAAGTTGCAGGAAAATATGGGTAATATCTTCATCCTTTGCAGTTTGTCATGGATTAAATGATAAAGGTCTGCATGATTCTGAAAATGATTATTAGCAAAGGCCCTGTAAGGATATGTAACTGGAAGGGACATATTTAGCGGGGGACCTGGAGAAGTTCCAGTCGGCAAATATGTGTTGCTGCAGCTACTTGCAGCATATATATGCATAGTTTAACTAATAAGTATGCACCATAGGGCAGCAGATCAGGCCATAGTGATACCTAGGATTCTGAGACAACCGAGTCGACCATCAAAGGTGGGAGCCTCTAGAAGGGTCTGGGGGCATGCCCCCCAAGAAAATTTTGGATCTCTTGAAGCTCACTTTGAGGAGTTTTCCAACAAGAAATTAACCTTACACTAGTCCCTGAAAATCAAACCAGCTGATCTTCTGTGACTGGTCAAATCGATCCCTGCAACCATGGTGTTTTGCAACATTTTCCCACCAAATAATGGGGCAGGATATTTTTCCCTCAGTTTGTTAGTGCAGGTATTTTTTTGTTCAGAATAGCCTTGCAGGAATTTTTTTTCAAACTCAACTCCCCCCCCCCCTTAAAAGTTAAATTGTCGGCTCCTAAAAACAAAGCAGTGACAACAGTGGAGTAATGACCATGTATACAGATAGACGAGTTCTGTTAAACAGTTCACTTGCAGTATTACAGTAATTAACTAATGAGTAAAATCATCTGGCACTAGATAGAGCAAATATTAATGTGGGTTTAATGCTTTTGAAGGCTTGATTTCAACCTGCATTTTTGTTACAACCATTTTTACCTCGTACAAGGCAGTTAAACTTTATTTGGCAAAAGACACTAAGTGAGTATTTGGCAATAAACTACTGGAATTTCACACAGATCCTATAATACTAGAGACCCTTTACAATTAAATTGTTTTTACACAATGCAATATAATGCATATCTAGGCATGCAACTGAAAGTAACTGTTTGCAGCATTGTTCCATCTTCACTTTATACTGTCCCTATAGGATCTAAAAAGCACAGAAATGAGATACCATTATTTTACAACTTTCAATTTCTTTCAAATTTATTAATTTTAATCTGCTTCTTTGGAATAGAACACCATTGAGGTCTTCTCAGAAGAGTGATAATTAATCATGACTATGACTTTAATAAGGAACATATTACACAAGCAGGGATGGGATGGTATATATTCTCACAAGGCATTGCGTTTAAGCACCCACCATTAACATAAATAAGATCACTACAACGCACCTGCTATTCTTTCTACCATCCTGAATCATTTGTTCCTTTAACAAATCCCACAAGCGACATAATTTGTTTGCGTTGATTAATAGGTTGATAGAAACAAATATGAGTCTTGTCCATATAAAATTCACCATTTCCAAAACAATAAAGCTCATGACCAATTTCTCATGTGTTAACTTATGGTATAATTCACCGATCTCTATCAGAAATTCCCATTTGAAAGGTGTTGTCAGGGAGTGGTCATTATTTATGGGGAGGGGGGGGGGGTTGGGAAATGGGGAAAATAAGGATTGAAAACTTTTTTGACCCCCCCTCCAGACTGAAGGCAAACTTTTTGTGCCTCCCCCTCATAAAAGTAGAAACTTTTCTGACCCCCCCCCCCAGTGTGGATTGAAAAATTAACAGCAATGAAACAGGTGTGCGTTGCAGGTAAAGTTAGATATTAGGACAATCTGTTTAATCTAGCTCATGATGTTTTACCCTGGTGAATATGATTCAACCATATATGATTAAAAAATATATATTATGTGTTACTACTTTGCAATGCAACATTTGTCCTACCATAACCCTAACCCATGACCCGTCTTCATACAGCGAAATGATTTGAACACAGGTTTTTTTTAAGAACTTGTCTGGGGGGTGGGCATCTACAAAAAGGGACCATACTATATTGAGTGTGGAGAGATGACAGATGGTTGTTGGTGACAAAAAGTTTGGTGTGGTATCGTATGTACTAGTAGGGGGGTCTGGGGGTATTCTCCCCCAGAAAATTTTTTTATTTTTCCACCCCTAGAATTGAAATGTGAGCATTTTCCTCTGAGCATTTTCTGAAACAGATTTTTGGATATACAGCGTTACATTGTGCGTTGATAGACCGAATCTGATCAGTTAAGTGTACTTGCATGGTATGTTTATGTAAATACCACAACTGGGTCACTCAGGAGGTAGAAAGCTTGTTAAACTTAGTGGGCTCAACGGTCGCTCGGCGCCACCATGGTTGGCGCCGAGCAGGGAAATTTTGAACATTTTGAGTCTCTAGATCGTTGGAAATAGCATTTTCAGAGTCTTCTTTTTTGCTATTTGTGATTATAGAAATCAAAAACTTTTATGACCCCCCTTTCTCTGTGTTAAAACTTTTTTGATTCCCCTATTTATAAGGGTAAAACTTCGTTTGCCCCCCCCCCTCCCATTTCCCTCCCATTCCCCCCCCTCCCCATAAATAATGACCACTCCCTCACGACTGTATTCATGATTCATCTCAGTCGCACTCAGAAACGTCGTCAAAAATATAGACACGTTTCTTTACGATTGAGTTCATTTGAATGTAAAAGAGGTCCCCAACATTCTTGAACATGTGCTTTTGGTTAAAATACCATATTTGACTTGATTTGTTCCTCTATTGCGAGATAACAGAACAAAACAGTTGAAAATACCGTATTAATCACAATAGCTCACTCCTCAAGGTGGTCACAGTAAGATGGCGGCCGCGCGCGACTTCCGGCTTCAATTTCTGTATCTATAGTTGCGCTCTCCATATATTTATAGCTCAGTGGGAAAAACGTACAACACACACAACACTAACGTAATCCTTGTGCCCCCAAAATGTCCACGCCCCCTGTGGAAATCAGCAAATTGCTGTCGGGGCCAGCGTCATGCATTAACTAAAGTTTTACCATACCATACGTACCATACCATACTATACAAACAAAATTAAACCATGATCACGACCAAATCTGTGCCGTGAAGGGTCCACTTTCTGTGTAAACAAAACCTTGGCTATTTGATTATCTTTTGTTTGTATAGGAGGCTAAATTCTCGTGCTTTTAGAAAACGCATGCGAAACGTTCTCTCCTACATGAACATACAGGGCATAAATACAAAAAATAACATGGGTAAAACAAGTATACAAAATCGTACGTCAACATCGATTAAACGTACGTCAATTTAGTACAAAGCATACGACCTCGTACGGCATTTAGACAAATTTATTTTTTAAGCCCTGCAAGTAGACAAATCTTAAGCCTTCAAATAACTATAATTCTTTATATAGTACCTTGCTATTGTAGGGGTAACCCATAATAAGGCATGACTGTTAGTGTGCTTTAATTACTCCACAAGGAATAAGGGGCAAGGGATATTGGTAAACAAGTGTTACCAATCAATCATATTCACTTTTAATTATAACGGCCACTGTGGTCAAAGCACCCTATAATAATTATTATTTACTCTCTAACAGCAGATGATGTTACTCACCAAAGGGCAATTTTGTACCTTGATGAGTAATATGCATACAAAATAGTAAACTGTTTCATTACATATTTTATGTCTGAATGACATTGCAACAAAATATGTTTGGGTGGGGTAAAACAATTTTCTGGCATTCCACCTGTGTGGTAGCTAGAAATTTTGTTTCGAAAAAGGTGGGGTAATGATTTTTTCCGGCTTCATTATACTTTCTCTTCGGCCCCCACCCCTGCCATAAATAATGACCGGTCCCTAATACGGAAGTATTTACCAATCAATATTCACTACATTTTAAAATTAAATTTTTTAACACGTTTCGGTACGGTACGCTTGAAGCGGAAAACGGCCTTAAGAGGGTTTTTTTTGGAACAAAAACTCGCCAACCGTCCTATAAGTCGGTTTTATAAGTCGGCTTTATAAGTCGTCCTGGAACGTCGACTTTTTGTAGGCCAGATAAATCCCTCGGCCCTCGGGAGTTATATCTGGTTTAAAGCCGCTGTTCTTGGTGTTTATACGTAAGATAGAGATTATGAATTCATATAAAGCACCACCATTTGTATTCTCTATGTTCATCATTAGTATTATATGTATACATATGTACATAAATAATTGACTCATGAGTCTATATACTTTCCTTCGTTTAACCACATCCCCCATTAACCCCACATTTGCCACAAAGCCCACGCCACTTTACGCATGCATGAATATAGTTATATAGTATTAGATAGAGACAACTGTAATTCTGGATGCTGATTGACCGAGCGGTCTTGAGCATTTTTAAATACATTTTTAATACTAATTAATATACTCATTAATAACTCATGAAGAAAATTCAAAAAACATGAATGTTTAATCAATGCTTGTAAATCGGATAAAGATTTTTCCTGATTTATATAAACTTCAGCTTTGATTTTCTCGGCTTAGACAATGTTTATTTTTAAAATTACTTCGCCAATGAAATCATAAGATGGGTCGTTTTTTAAGTACTTTAAAAGACCTTAAAACATTTGCATCCAAACTTTATCTGATATACAAACTCTTGCCTTCGGCTTGAGTTTGTATATCAGATAAAGATATATATCGATCGGCTGCTCATGTTTTAACTAGTACATATTTTGCTATACAAACTATACTCTCAAAACCTACATAGATTATGTCTACATAGATTATTATACACGAACACATCAACATTTCATTCATTTAGTGGCTATAAAAGTAATGATATATGTCTAAAAACAAACTAAGCTGGGACCACTGGTCTAAAACTAGGACTGGATGCACCTGCTATTTGCACAAATCAAGTCAATGGCGGCCATATTGTTATGACCATATATATATGGCCTGCATAGAGTTGGAAAATCGCAAAAAAACATTATACAACTTGCTATAGGATACACTGCAGGATAATTATTATTGTTACCGTTAGTGAACAAATAATGGCAGCAACCTTGGCAGTCGTTTCAGTAAAATACTTCCACTTCTGTCGGAGCAAACTTAAAACTTCCAGCCAGAAGAGATCTTGCTTTACAACTTTTAGTAACATATCCTTCAGGCAAACTGTAGGAATGACCAAAGTCCGAGAACGATGTAATCACTCTGTCAGCGTTGTTTGAAATTGACAAATCCCGCCCTTCATTAGAATTGCCGCGGCCAAATATTGCTCCGAAAGATGAATCTTGATTAATGGAGTCTTTGCCCTTTCGAAGACAGGATTTGAATGGAGGAAGATTGTCGTTGTTTGAAAGAGAGAAAATAAACGACTTTCCAGACTCTTTTACGCGATCTTTGAACAAAGTAAAAAGCATAAATGAAGTTGTAACTAGTACACAGCACGCCTTAGGAAGGTCTTTTTGATTGAGGGGGTCTGAAAGCGAGGAGATTTTTAAATTTAGAGTCTCTGAAATGCCATTTCCTGGACTTTGGGGAAGATTAAGATTTGACATAATTCTGGTGGTCAGAAAATAGCGTTTTACTATGTCGAAATTTACAATTTACTTACAGTTTAGTAGTACTAAATGGGCGAAGGCGTATTTAATTAACTATATATTGGATAAGTCGCAGGGGAGTATGCAGGGTAATATCTTCATTCTTTGCAGTGATAAAGGTCTGCATGATTTTGAAAAAAGAATGATTATTAGCAAATTATTGAGGGGGGCTGCAGCTCCATCGCCCACTAATACATTCGTTTTAATTATGATTTCAATTAATTCTATATATTAGCGGGAATCGCTTTTGAGTTGCGGGCAGCTAAACACTAACTATAGCCGACTTTCGTTGGACCAGATTTATTATCGCATATTTACCTGAAGAGGCTGTCCAATTTACATCTGTATAGCCACCAAAGATAAAATTATCAACTTGCACCAAAACCACAGTTGGTCCTTTGTTGTCACAATTTAAGTGGAAGTCCTTTGCTTCCCAACCATCACACGACGCTCTGTAACACACGCGCCACTGGAAATTGCGTTCAGCCAACCAGTCAATCATTTGACGTATGTATTCAGGTTTATCTTTCAAAATTTTAGATGCTATAGCCAAAATGACATATGCTGGGTAAAACCCTATATAATTGCAAATAATGTGTAGATTAAAAACATGGAAAAATAACCAGTATCAACTACACTGACAAAAGGGAGTGGGACACACAAAAAAATTGAGAAGATCCTATCCCACCTATTTTAATAGTGGTTGTGCGTAGTATAACGTCAACCAACTTGGAATATAATGTACATTCTTTTGCAAATGTCTGCACAATGTGTGGCCAATGTCTAGTAAACAATAATCTTTTATACTACATATGAGTAGATGACCCCCTTCCCCGCTTATATACCAACGCAAGTAATCAGGGGGACTCACTCATCACTGTATGAAAGGGATGCCGCACGCGCTGATTGGACGAGCCTGACCAACGCGATTCGCGGTGTTAACTCACGCATCTCTGTATGAACGCGGGATGACACCCGTGGCCCACGCGAAAAGACCACGCAAGCCCATGGCTAAATTGCAGAATACCCGTCCACTAGTCATCTTTCGCAGTGACGCGCTATCAAATTACATTATCAAGGAAATACGTCACGTAGCCACTAAAAACATACCTTCCTTACAATTACGTCATTAATGCGTATCAGTTGTTCTTTCAAAAACTCACTGCGTAGCCACGAAATGGTTCGGCTTTTGCTCTTTAGTCGGCGTGAAGTATATATACAGCTAAAACTATTCTTCGCTCTTTGATCTATTTTTGCTTTCATCTCTATTGAAAATGACTGCGCAGAAATTATATGCGGATGTTGTACGATCGTACGAACGTATAACTTGATCAGAAATAAAGCAGATATCAATACAAAGCAGCTAAAATTATTCCTATACAGTGAACTCTAATAAGACTGGAACGATAACTCGGCCGCCATCTTTGAAGCCAAATTGAAGGCCGCCATTGGAGGTACGGCGGCGAAAATACACCTCTTCGAAAAAGTCATAGCGCGCGAACTTCTCCCGGGCGCCAAATCACAAAACGCAAATCACGGGGGTTTCTACGAAAAAATCGATTTATTCACGTTTTAGAGATGTCAAAAAGCACTCAAAATAAACAACTATACCTAGACTTTAATACAAAAAAGGTATTGGTCCGTAGATTTATGTTTCAAAGTATTTTTTTTAGTTAAAGAGCAAAGCTCACTTCGGCACGTTCAACTAGTGTCGTTTTTACAAAACAAACCTGATACCCTTCAAACTTTCACTGTTGTGAGATGCAAAGCAGTTCTAACTATCAAATAGATCGTATTTGGGTTTTTAAAATTGAAGTCTTTTGATGAAAAACGACTTTTCTTGCTCATTTTCGTCGAAAATAAACTTTGACTGAATTTCCCACTCCTCGAAACTCTCCTTAGTCCTTTTAAAAGTGCAATTTCCTTGCACGGTTGGCTTCAGGCAAGTATGGGCATGTTTACCTGAGTTATCGTTCTAGTCTTATTAGAGTTCACTGTTCCTATACGAAAGATATATAACACTTGTTAATCAGATTATGAACTCAGCAAGTGTTTGCCAATGTGTGGAGTATGTTTTTGTCGGATTATTAGGTGTTTATGTACGTAATTAAGGTTTATTTCCTTTAATTACGTCATAACATTTCTTTAGTCACTTGCCGCCTGTCCATATCCTGCTGCGCTCTTGACTTTAGTTCGAACGCGTAATATGAAGAATTTCGGTTAAATATTCAGTTGGGCATTGCATATCGCTTACACACGTTTCGCTAAACCAGAAATTATTATATCAAAAGCAGTATTTGAGCGAAAACTGGAAATTTAGAGCATTTTTCGACCCACGACTTTTACGCACGACGCATGAAATGTTGAAAAGAACTTTAATCTGAGAACGTATTTGTATTAAAGCTGATTGTTCGTTTCCTTTGTTGTTCTACACGCATTTTGAACATAGCTACATAATTATTAGGAAGAACTATTGAATAGAAAAATACAAGTATCAGTATGTAGCTGCATGCATATGGTGGGCAAACCTACTTAGACGACAATTTAATATTTATTTAGTAAATGCATGCATTCATGAGGTGATACTATAATCTCCACTAATTTCAATCACAGTTGACATATTATATCTTCAGAAATATATCTGCCTATCATCAGGCAATTGGCTTGTGATTTTCAACATTTTCTGGGGGTTGGACGTGATAAGACAGCTGTTATCGTACTTGACCTGCAGACTAATTGTCAGCAGCACTCAGGGTTTGGTCTCCTTAGCACTAGTTTATCAAAATTACAACATGTTAATTTTGCATGACAATTTACATTAAATCCAAGCTTACTAAATATCAAATAAAGGCATAGCACTACATATATTATTGCCTTTCTCTTGTTGTTAGTTTGCAAAAATATGATTTTCATGTTGCCATTGCAACCAAATCCTGAAATAGGTCATGTTGAAGCAATAGGGCCATTTATACGAGCGAAAATAAGCCGCGGCTTAAATAAGTCGCGAACGACTCGTATAAACAATCAATTTGCACTAAGCCGCGGCTAAAATAAGCCCAGGCTTGAATAAGCCGCGGTTTATTGCGAATTGACTGTTTATATACGAGTTGTTCGCGACTTATTTAAGCCGCGGCTTATTTAGGCCACGACTTATTTTCGCTCGTATAAATGGCCCTAATGTTTTGGAATTGTATAGTCACTCTATAAAGAAAAGGTAAGGGGTAGGTGCATGCATGCATGTAACTTCTAGTTACCTTTTATTCTCACATCACCCAATTCCAGAAACTTTTGTAGCTGTTTAACATCAATGTGTTTCTTGATATATTCAATATCTACATCATTGATCTGAGTAATCTTCGTTTTTTCCTCCCTCTCTACACCTTCCAACCACTCTGTGGCCATTCCTTCTGATTGTATAACTTCCACACTGGTACCATTCTCTAAAATATTCTTAGCCAAATCATATGATACATTAACTTCATTCACAAATGACTGTATCTCCTTCTGCTGCTTTGCAATCAATTCTTGATGTGTTTTATTGTAAAACTCATCAACTTCATCACATTTTTTCTGTGCAGTCTCTTCCAAATACTGCAAAAATATATCTTTCACTCTTTCCTTTTCATTATTGATAGATTTTTTAACCTTCTGAGTGTTGGATTTGAACTTCTCTTCCACACCAGATATGGCTTGTAGAGCTTTATTGCCAAGGGTTAATTTTTTCCTCAGCGCACTCACTGAGCTCTTTAGAGATTCCTTTCGTCTCCCAACGACATGCTCTATTGGTGCACATTCATGATCCGGGCGGGTATGAATAAAATCCAGACAATATCTACAGATAAGTTCCTTGCATGTCTCGCAATAAAACTTCAGTTTCTTGCCCTCGTGTTTACTACAATGCAAAACCTTGCTGCCTTTAATCTTTGACTTGTTTTCGGGCTTTGTCAACTCCTCAATGCTTAACACAGAGCAAGGGATTTTCTTAAAACCAGGCCAACTCTCTCGTACTGAGTTATGCTCTGCCAAACACTCGTCACATAAGAACAGTTCGCATGTCAAACAGCGGCAACTTGCTTGTTGTTTATTGCATTTCGAGCAATTGGCATGCTTTGCTTGGTTTTGTAGTTGAACAGCTTCTAGCATATTTCGGATAAAATGACTGCTAGACAACTCTGCTACTTCCTGATTTGATTTCAACTGAAATACAGACCTGCACGTAGGACAATTGAAATCTTCAATCTTTCCCGACTTCGCATTCTTGCGTTCAATTCGAACAATTTTCTCCAAGCAAACCTTGCAAAATGAATGAAAGCATAGCAAAGTGCGTGGATCATTCAGTGTTTCTAAACAAACTGAACATTCTAGTAAACTTTCAACGTTATTCGCCATGCCCGCTTCGCCATGACCACACGAAGTGGCCATTTTGAGATCTTGTGACTCTGGTTGATATGCGATATTCTAGAAATTTGAATAAAAATAGTTAACAATTATTTGCCGAAGTCAAGGTCAATCGCGGTGGTTGGTCGCTATAAACTTGCTATGCATTTTGCTCCCGGAAGCGCGGGCGTCGTTTTTTTCTGGCGGTGAGTGAAATGGCGTCGTTTCACTTTATAATCGGGAAAGGCCATGTAATATTTGGCTTAAAATTTTTTACGGTTAGAACAAATTTGTTGGGTATATTTTAACAGGTTCATAAACTTCAATATTTAAATGGACGATTGTGATCATCAAATTCGCTCCTGTATAACTAACTAAGTTCATCTTTCATATTACGGAACGCAACTAATGTACAAATTGTTCCTCCTTTCGCCTAATTCGTTTTTCTTCATCTGAGTATAGAGGGGGGAGGGGGACAAGGGTATTTTCGTGACTCGTGATTAGCAATTATTCGTGCTTCGCGATTTGAAGAAATATTGACTTTATTATACAAACAGTTGATTGTTGTGTCTTATATATATATTATACTCTAGAATCATGAAAATATAAATAGTTGTCGAATAAAATCCAATATTTTGGATACCGAAATGTAAACAAAGCCCTTGTTTACATACGCCGACTGTACCGCATCTTTAAAATAATATACCGACAGAAAAACATAGGCCTACCGACTGTTTTGGTTGGCGACAACAAATCTACCATTTGTTCACGCAAGAATTTGTTTGATGCATAATATTATGTTCTACAGTATTATAAAACGCTTTCATTTTATATTTGTGTATGATGTATTTTTGAGATATATACATACTTCCATTGTATAGATGACAATATATATATATATAGCTGTAGCTACTGTGCAATCATACCTAACCAAGTATACTACGTACAATTATCAGTTATAGACCTGAAACGAGGGGTATTCCACAAAAAATTTGTGGAATACCCCGAGTGAAAGGTCTATAAATGGTATATTATACCGAACCTTTCAAAAATAAGTAGAAAACAAATACCATTCAATTGACTTTTAATTTCAAAACACAACTTTTGATAACTTTACATTTAAAGTTTACATTTAAAGTCGAATTTCCCGCTCAAGCGTGGTATTCGAAGTCGAATACCATGGCCCCGGGTAAAACACCCAGGGTTCAAATTGCCTAGGTCATAGTATTCGCTGAAAAATACCATGGTCATGTGGTACAAATTTAGTTCTCTGATTGGACAAGCTCATTGTGAGGTATAATATTTTATAATATATACTGCGCAATTAGATCCGTAACCACATAAAATAATAGTAACATACAGTATACTAGAAAATACATGCATGCAGAAACCCTCGCCTTGCTGACAAAACCGTTGTATTTTCCGAACATGAAGTATCTAAAGTAGTTGTCATGGTAACACGATAATTTTTTAAGAATATTC